CATCCTTCGGGATCAGCACCACTCAGAGTATAGGCATCAGTGTGACAGACAGCAGTGGCCACTATCTGTGAAGAAATATATGATCTGAGGCACCTTGAAGAACAGAATAATAGCACAGATCTAAATATTTCCCTTTGGTCGGAAATTCAGAACAATTGCCAGGACAAATGTGACAATCCTGACAGCGTTTGTGGAATGGCCAACACACTTCCACTCCTGGCAAGGCACAGGAATGCCAAGACAAAGTACTTTTTCTTTCTTTTAAAAAGTGAAGTCATGATAGTATATCTTTTCTCATTTCCATCAACTAAATTCTGACGTTGAAACGGGTTGAAGAAGACATCTGATTTCCAAAAGCTAGAAATCAGTAGTCTAAGTCATCTCACAGTAGGTTGTCATCTCGGATTTGAAGTTAGTCAGTCTCTCAAAGGTAAAATGACGAGAGAGACCACACAGAACCATGCATAAATCCAGTTTAAATCTTAAGCACCATGCGGAGATCCTTTCCACAGAAATGAATTTCACCTTAATGTATACTTTTTGGCAGATACAGGCCACTGGAAAGTCCTAATCAAATTAGAAACTTGGGTATGGGGAACCCAAGAGCCCAATCACAGCTCAGCAACCAGTAAATTGCGGCCTGAGTAAAGTCAAATCCAGCATGTTACACAGCTGCAACAGGTCACAAGCTGCTGCCCTTCAAACAAGATCAAAGGTGTTCCTAGCTCACGTTTTGTGGGAGTTTAATCTGTAATAACTGGAACTGATCCCCATGACAAGCCATTGCCTTTAGACCAGACTGTGAAGTGAGACCAGTAGAAATTAAAAGTGTTTTTCATAAACAGAAGATCGAAATATTGTAATGTTCTTCTTTGTAAAGCCAGCTGAGATACTAACGAACTAATGCTATCCATTCAGCATTTCTTCTATTGTAAACAAACTATTCAGCTTTAATACTTGAGTCTCCAAAATACAATACATGCAGCTAATGATTGATTTAATTACCTTGATACGAACTTCATGAGCTTTTGGTGGAGCAACCTCCACCTCCTCAAGAGAGAGAGGTTTACCTGCCTCCCAGGCAACAGCAGCCTTGCATTTTATAACCTAAAAGGCAACAACAAAAAAAGAGGACATCTGTTGCATGGTCCATTTAAAATAATTCTTGTTCAGTCAAGTGAGAAAATGAGAGAAACACTACTTTTGAAATTATGAATTTCAGGTCTGGGATTCTTTCCAACACCAAGGCTTAATTGCCCTACATTTGCTTCCAGGAAGCTAAATGATAATGAATGAACCAAGATCTGAAATTTGGATGTCATTTTCTTATTGAGAAAAAATTTAATAAATCCAGGAGTGCTTAGGAGATACCCAAATACTGCAGTGGAATGACCAACAGGAATGGAAAGACTGCAAAATAAAAATGGTGTTTTAAAATAAGAGACTGACATTCGTATGAGAAGTGTTCCTCGAGCACAGAGGGTTTAAATTAAAAAAAAATTTAGAAAGCAAACTGGAGGTCACATGGTGGTCTGAGACCCATGTCAAGAGTGAATTTCTTGTTCCTTGTCAGATTTTGACAAGGAGACGGGTGTGCACGCAGCTGACACGCAAAGCCCTCCAGCGATGCATAGGGACCAGAGAGATTTTGCTGTATGGTTATTGTCAGTGGTTATTGTGCAGTAACACCTCTGCAGAGCCAGTGTTACTGTTAGCAGCTCTTTGTTCACTGCTCTCAGCACCGTGGCAAATCCTGCTGTGCAACCACACCTACACATCCCAGGAAGCTTTTCAAGCCAAACGGTGCGAAGCCTGGATGGAAGAGCAGGATTTATGGATCTGTAAACCCAACCCTATCAACAGGTACATATGCACAACTGATGGAGGAAATCAGCGGGCATTACAGCCACACAATCCAGAGCTGCTTCAGGTGCTGCAGGGGGTAAGCATCCAGAGCACCCTCAGATGTCAGGTTTACAAAGCAGAACACTGGGTCTGTCCTTCAGGATAAACCGGGCAGGGCATCAAATAATCTGATTTTTGCTTTCTGGCAGAAGCAACACCTTTCAGCAGTGTGATATGCAATAGCTTCTTGCAGGACACACAGACAAGTTGTGAAATCAAAGTCAAGACCTTATCTACACAAAGCCTGACGAGGAATGCTGTTGCAGACTAGACTACTTTGGAACAGATCCCTTTGCAATCTGCTCCACAGTAGCGTCCGTGTATTTTGGAATAATTCAGTTATACCAGAAGACTGGCACTGATTTTCTTCCATGCAAACAAGGTCTAAGCCACTGCTATGACAGTTGGAGATATGAAGCATTTCATAGCATGCACTATAAACCGATACAAGAAAATGACATTTTGTGCATTCAAACTAGCTGTGGAGTCACTGGAAGGGGATTAATACAAATTGCCAAGACCAGACATATAGTCTTTTTAAAATTTCACTGCCTGGAAGAAATAACAGCACCAAGACCACTTGTTGAGCTTGCCAGGTCTGATTCATCACCTGTGTGTATAGGAGAAAATAATCAGTATTTTATGACTTTCTGTAGTATTTTTGTCGTACAATAAACAGTATTGAACTTTGCCAGAACCAGTTAACACATTCACTGAACCTGTAAGAGCAGAACTGCAGACATTTACCTTGGCTTAAACTTGCTAAAATAAATACTGCCAACCCTCAAAGCCCTCAAGCTTTGGGACAGAAAATAGGTACCCAGGGGCCCAGATTGGACAGAAACACCTTTAACTCAGAATGGTGAATTCCCCTTCTCTTGCAGTTTATTACCAGGGTAAATATTATAAAAATGCACTCAATGTGACACAGTAACTAACTGTGGAGTCACAGTATGGCCATTCGGTCATAATCGCTAAATGTACCAAAGATTTTGCCAGAAATTCTAAATTCAAGGCACAAAGTGCAAGAGGAACCATCATTAGGTAAATCATTTACTGGTTTTTCAATCCATCCCTCATCCTCCCTTCATGAAGTCACTTGTTCTCATGCAGGAGACTGTGTATTCCTAAAATTTGAATTTCCACAAGTTTAGTTAAGCAGAGAATTAAAGAAGAGAGCAAAGAAAAGTCTCCTTACAGGATAAATTCTGATCTTTCTAAACCTAACATTACACAGCTGGAAGCATATTTTGAAGTAATAACTTCTGATTCAGAAACTTTTAAAGAAGCTGGCTTTTGAAACTGCAGTCAGCTCATACAGCCATAAAGGCCCCTGGACTATTCAGAGTGGGTATCAGAAAGTGGGTATCTTCTGACCTTCTGACACTCAAAGCTTTCTGCTGTTGCTTTGATGAAAATCTTGAAGCCAACAACTGGAAAAAAAACCACCCAACTTCCTCCAGTGTCCTGGTTTGAGGTAAAACAGAACCAACAACCAGTTCTTCATTTTCTCTATGAATATATTAGCACAGGAACACAACTGTTGAGTCCCTTGTAGCAACACACACAATCAGCTACCTCACTCAAGATGAAACCGAGCTCTTGGCAGTGCCAGAAGCTGCCCGAGCCGCTCTGAAACCGCTGCTGGCCCAGACCAGCCTTTGGACACGTGAGACCACCAAGCCTGCTCAGACCAGGGCACTGAATGGCTGCACAGATATTAAAGCAGCATTAAGTAAGTTTGGATTATCGTGGTGTTTTGAAAGCAATGCAGCAAACTTGCCAGGCAATGGTTTTGAGAGCAAGCAGGGCCCAGCTGTACAGAGAACAGAGCAGCCCAGCTGCTGGGAAGCAGCCTCAGGGATTGCTCTCGCTGCAAAGGGACATCTTCCTGAACATGCACCCATTCTTTCTTCTCCCACTCAAAGGTCACGGGATGGAAACACAGAGGGTGAACTGTGCTTGGCTATTTCCCCCAACCCACCTACCTCAGCCGACACCGAGAAGCCAACCCCCTCCCAGCCCAGTGTGCAAAGGCATCTGCTTTCCCTTCCTTCAAGCTCAGGAAGTCACATCTGTCCCAAGCTCCTAAAAAAACATGCAAGCTCAAGGTCTTCTGATTGTTCTTCCATCACCATGACTAACGCACAGTCTAAACACGCAAGTGGAACCCTCAGATCCAGAAAACATGTAGGGGGGTTGATTACAACACGCAGTGGGGAGCAACACGTGTATTTCTGTTCCCAACCTTGCAAATCATAGAATGGTTCAGGTTGGAAGGGACCACAGAGATCATCTAGTTCCAACCCCTCCTGCCATGGGCAGGGACACCTCCCCCCAGACCAGGTTGCTCAAAGCCCCATCCAGCCTGGCCTTGAACACCTCCAGGGATGAGGCATCCACAGCTTCTCTGGGCAACCTGGGCCAGTGTCTCACCACCCTCAGAGGGAAGAATTTCCTCCTGATATCTAACCTAAATCTCCCCCCCTTCCAGTCTGAAGCCAGCGCCCCTCATCCCTGATAAAAGAGTCCCTCCCCATATCTCCTGTAGCCCCATTTTAGGTACTAGAAAGGGCTACAAGGTCTCCTTGGAGCCTTCTCTTCTCCAGGCTGAACAACCCCAGCTCTCTCAGCCTGTCCTCACAGGAGGGGTGCTCCAGCCCTCTCATCGCTTTCCTGGCCCCCCTCTGGACCTGCTCCAACAGGTCCACGTCCTTCTCCTCCTGAAGGCTCCAGAGGACGCCCCCCCCTCCACAGGAGCCTCCCATACCCAAATAACGGCTCCGATCCCCGTCGCACGCCCCACAGGCGGGTCGGGAGGGCCCAGGCCGACATCCCACATACACCCCCCCCTCACAGGGCCACAGGGCCGCAAACCCGCAAACCCACCACCCAGGGGCCCTCAATGGGGCACCAGAGCCTCGGCCTCCCCCCGCGCAGACACCCGACGGACAAACAGACACCCCGGGGAACCCCCCACGCCTCACCCCGCTGGCCATGGCGCTCGGCTGCCGCTGCCCCGGCGGAAGGGGATCGCAACCCCCGCCTCTCCCGCCCCCTCCCGGCCCCCCCGCGACCGCCCCCCTCAGGCTCGCGCTGAGGTGAAGGGGCCGCTGAGAGGCAGCCGGGCAGCGAAGGGCGGGGGTGCTCACAAGATGGTGGTCGCGTCGTTTCATTTCTCCAGAGAAGTTTCCATCTCCCGGCTCCTCGTGTGGGAGCTGCGGCGGTGTAAGGTGGGGTGCAGAGTTCTGTCGGGGTTTGGCAGCAGGGGAGGTGCTGATGCTCGTGCTCGAGGAGGGGGGGGCAGGGTAGAACCGAGGTCCCCCCGCCCACTCCTGAAGAAATGGGAGTTTTCGTTTTCCAGTGAGGTGCCCAGCAAACACCACCGTCAGGCAGCGATACCACCGTGTAATAACACAACGTAAGCTACTATAGCCTTTAATAAATTACATAAAAACACCCAAACGCTAACATTTAAGAATATATTGAATTAAATCTGTAGGCTCAGGAAGGCCGACACTGAGCTGGAAGGCAGTTGGGGCAGTGAGAGGGCAGTATAGGTTTCACATGTGGTGAGAGGTGTTGAGAAAGGGTGAGGGGGTGAGTGATGAGGCTGGTTGTCCCACCACCTTCCTGAGGCTTTCGTAGAATGGTCCACGTTGGAAGGGACCTTAAAGATGACCGAATTCCAACCCCCCTGCCATGGGCAGGGAAACCTCCCACTAGACCAGGCTGCTCAAAGCCCCGGCCAGCCTGGCCTTGGAACACTTCCCACCAGCTACCACTAAAACCTTGTCGCTGAAATCAAAGCGGGCCTTGTCAATTTCCTTGGTTAAATTCAGCTCTGCCACCCTCTGCTGTGAATTTCACGCTCTTGGTTACCCTTGGTTTGTCAGTGCTTCCAAAAAGAGTCAAAACATTTTTTGTTTATCTAAACTCTGCAGATCCTCAGCTTTATGTTAGTATCTGACATTCTGGAAGCTGCAGGTACTGACTGGGGTAGACAAATGACAAGGCAAAGTCATTAAATGCATAAATCATAACTCCTTAGTGCTCATTGCCCAGTTTCAGAGATTGAATTAGTTGGTTACTTTTTTCATTTTTCCTTCCCTTGCAGTTTTGTGATGCTGTCTCCAGTGTTGCTGTGTACTGTTGGAAGCCCCTGGACATGGTAAGTGGTTTTGCAACTTTCTTTATATTATCTTGACTGAACTGTCTGTGCTTTGTCATGCGTGTTCTGGGTGTATATATGAGAATTCCCTAGGTGGGGACTCCCAATACTACTGTGTTTTTTACATTGAGTTGATTTTGGTGGTGGTCTGGCAGATGCTACGTGCTAAGCAGGAGCATCAGTTTGGATTTAAAAAAGAGAAGGGATTGGAAGTACTGTGAGCATGTGGGAGAGAGACCTGGCAATTGTGATTTTGCTTGGAAGATGTTCTTTGTTCCATGTGGTGAGGGGAGAGAAAGCCCAAAACAACTAGAGATCTGCATTACCTTTTTTAATTCCTCCCTTTTTTTTTTTGGTAAATTGTACTATTGTGCTCATCTTAGCTGCATTAGTTTTTAGTGAGGGTTTTCTGTACTTTAGTTTCACTTTGAGGTAAGAGACGATGAAGAGCAAGAAGTCACTTGGAAGCTTGGCAGCCAGTATATGGTGAAAGAAGTCAGGGTGATCATCCTGGGGCAGCCTGAGGGCCAAGGGCAGAAGCTGGCCCTCTGTCAGCACCAGAAGTAGGAGGTGATGCTTGGGTGCTGTAACTGCTGGCTGCAGCCTCACACACTGGGGAACAGTGGTGAGGCACAGGGAGGCAGGAGGGGACTCTTGACAATGCCTACCCACAGGTGAAACTGAAATGCATCTGTGCAAACGTTGCCTGGTGTCTTTTCCCCAAACAGAAAAGGTGCTCGATTTACCCAGAGGTTAATTTTTCCCCTATTAATACAATTTCCCAAGTAAAACCAGTGTCATTTTAAGTAGTTTTGATAGATATATTTCATTAGAACAATGCCATTAAACCTGGAATGAAACCTGTGGACAGGTTTCAGCTGAAGATGCTTGAGTACAGCAGTCTTTTTTTGGGGCATTGCTCTCAAAACCGTCCTTTTGAATTCTGATTTAAACTTTCCTACATTTTCCTATGAAATACTGGAGGGTAGTACTTGTGTAGCATGAAAAAAAATTCTTGTCATTCTTCAAATCATCATTGATTTATTTTTGTAAGGTACAAATGTAGGTGGTTGAAAAATGGAAACATTTAAAAAATCAAAAATGTTTTCATTTAAAATGTTCAGAGCTGGTTGATGTTCCTTTGTATACTTCTTGGTTAATTAAAATATTCTGGTTTTGTAAAGACAAATGTAAGTTTGAAATATTATCCAGAAATGGTTGGTTCCAAAGGGAAAACTTTAGGAATAATTTCACTAATTAATCCTAGAATAATACTAATGTATACTAAAGTAAAATAACTTTTCAAAACAGAGGCCCATGTTACTTAGATGTAATCAAAATGAGCATGAAAGTGACCATGACACTTTTGCAGTAGAGACACATGAGATTGGGTTACTGAAAGGTTTATAATATTTTAGAGATGGAGGTGAGGCATTTGGGGAGGTTTGTGATAAAATATTCTCAAGTATTTGCTTTCATTGAAAGTCCAATAAAACCCAAAAAGCTGGTCTATTTCTGTGCTGATTCTAAGAGGTTAGTATTAAACTAACTATGCAAGGGAAATCTTAAAGATAAAAGTTGGGGAAGGGTTATGCTGGTACCTCCTTGCTTGTATTTTCTTGTGACAGTATTTTCTTGTGGCATGTGTAAGTGTCTTTGCTAGTCTTTAAAACATAATTATTTGGTCAGCTGTGGAACCAGCGGTGTTTTAGGAACCAAGCAGAGTTGAGGAGCTCTCTAATTATCTGCTGAAATTTGAAGTCCCGCTGAGTTAGTGGTCATCATCAAAGGGGCGGGAGGATCTCCAAGTTACTGGAATGTTATCAGTAAGGCATTGGCTGGCTGGAGGAAGGGCTGGCTGAGCAGCATCCCGCTGGCACTCTTGACGTCGGGGCTGGTAGCTGAGTTTAGCAGCGAGGGTGGCAGAACGTTCTGAGGAGCTGGCAGCTGCACACATGTCTGCCCACACACTGGGCTGTGCACAGGGTAAACCATGGATGTCTGCTGCAGGCAGATGCTTGAGCTGTGCTGAAATGAAACTCATCCTGGCCTGGATGGGCGTACACTTCGCTGGGTAAAAAACTGGCTGGGTGGCCTGGCCCGAAGAGCTGTGGTGAATGGAGTTAAATCCAGTTGGCGCCCGGTCACGAGTGGTGTTCCCTGGGGCTCACTGTTGGGGCTAGTTGTGTTTGATATCTATACCAATGATGTGGTCGAGGGGATCGAGTGCACCCTCAGTCAGTTTGCAGAGGACACCAAGCTGGGAGGAAGTGTTGATATGCTTGAGAGTAGGAAGGCTCTACAAAGGGATCTGGACAGACTGGATCAATGGGCTGAGTCCAACAGTGTGAGGTTCAACAAGGCCAAGGGCTGGGTTCTGCACTTGGGTCACAACAACCCCACGCAGGGCTACAGGCTTAGGGAAGAGTGTCTGGAGAGCTGCCCGGTGGAAAAGGACCTGGCAGTGCTACTGGCTTGGGGCAGAGTGGCTGGAGATCTGCCCAGTGGAAAAGGACCTGGGGGTGTTAGTTGACAGCCAGCTGAAGATGAGCTGGCAGTGTGGTTAGGTGGCCAAGAAGGCCAACAGCATCCTGGCCTCTATCAGGAAGACTGTGGGCAGCAGGACTAGTAAAGTCCCCCTGTACTCGGCACTATGTTCAGTTTTAGGCCTCTCACTACAGGTGGGAGTGGGGGCAGCAGGACTAGTAAAGTGATGATTGTCCCCCTGTACTTGGCACTGTGTTCAGTTTTAGGCCTCTCACTACAGGTGGGACATTGAAGTGCTGGAGCATGTCCAGAGAATGGCAACGACGAAGCTGGTGAGGGGTCTGGAGAACAAGTCTTATGAGGAGCAGCTGTGGAAACTGGGGTTGTTCAGTCTGGACAACAAGTCTTATGAGGAGCAGCTGTGGAAACTGGGATTGTTCAGCCTGGAGAACAGGAGGCTGAGGGAAGACCTTATCGCTCTCTACAACTACCTGAAAGGAGGTTGTAGAGAGGTGAGGATCGGTCTCTTCAAGTAACAAGTGATAGGACAAGGAGAAATGGCCTCAAGTTGCAGCAGGGGAGGTGTAGATTGGAAAGGCTAGATGTGGAAAAATTTCTTCCCCGTAAGCGTTGTCAAGCATTGGAGCAGGCTGGCCAGGGAAGTGGTTGTGTCACCATCCCCGGAGGTATTTAAAAGACTTGTAGCACTTAGGGACATGGTTCAGTGGTGGACTTGCTAGTGTTAGGTTTACAGTTGGACTTAATGATCTGGATGGTCCCTTCCAACCTCACTGGTTGTGTCATTCTACGTTGAGAAGCCGATGGGCAGTACGCAGAGAGAGCAGTGACAGGTAACCACGGGGTGGCACTGCTGTCGCGACAGAACTTGTCACTACATGGAAGCGTTCACACAATTTTTCAGGTAGTAGCAGTTCAAAATACTTGATAAAGTTACAGTTGTTTGTAGAGGCAGAGTTATTTGATCGCAATCAAATTTTGTTTCATCTAGGTTCAGATTGTTTTCAAAAATGAAAAATAACGTTTCTGTTAAATTAGCGAAACTTAGAAGTGATACGTGATGGTGCAGACAGAGGAGGTGGTTTGCTTCTAACGTATCAGCGTGGTGATGCTTTTTTCCCCAATTCTGCACAAATCTATTTATGTGTTTATATTTATTACAGAGTTACTCGACTAATTGATTACATTTTATGACTTGTCACTAGTACAAAATTAAGGATATGCAGGCATGTATGCAGTATTAAGGAAGTATTGTTTATTGGGAGGAACTTCTTACAGTGTTTTCTTGCTAGGGAAGTGTTAGAACTCAAAGTATTTAACAAGTTATTTTGGTGTCATCTCATTACCTGCGGTCCTACTGTTTTATGCTTAAAAAGTAGTTAAGAGAATTATAGGTAACTTTTATAGCAGGGCAAAGTGAGTTCTATGTGCAGAAGTTACTGTATATTGTCAAACAAGATGGAATTTGTTAACCTTTGATAACTCATTTGTACATTGGTGATGTGCCATGTAATTGCTGATGGTGCTGAGGGGTTCCCAGAAGTTCAAAGGCCTATGGACTGGGATAAGGGTTGCTCAAAAGAGGTCAAAAGGCATTATAATGTTATGGGTCCAATGTTCAGCACCAAGAGAAGAGTCTGTTTAGCAGAATGACGTGCTCATAGTGGCAACCCTATTCTCTGGGGAAGATTTTCAGCAGTTGTGCTGCAGTATTCAGTTGGACTTGGTGCTGGAAATACACTGAAAGTACAACAGCATTTGCAAAAGTGAGACCGCACCCGTGCATGCCTGTATAAATGTTACATGATAAAAAGAAAGTTATGTACTGCTTTATATAATATGCTTCAAATAATAAAGCGCTAGCTACTGTTCTTTATTACCTTTCAATCCTAACCATTCCATATTTGTGTGGGCTGCACTTTCTTAAATGCATATTAATTCTTAATACATATTTAGTAAATATTAAATAAATTTGTTAAATAATGAGAACAGCCAAAAATAAGGCTTGAATTCAAGTCAGAGTCTTCAAAAATTTGAGATCAGTCCTTAGAAACTGAGGACAGTTCAATTGCTGCAACAAAGAAAATCAATTACCTGAATGTTTGTTTTAAACTTAAAAGCCTAACCCACAAACACAGGAGGTTGTAGAGAGGCAGGGATTGGTCTCTTCTCCCAAGTCACAGGCGACAGGACTAGAGGAAATGGCCTCAAGTTGTTCCAGGGGAGGTTCAGGCTGGATATTAGGAAAAAATTTTTCACCAAAAGGGTTATCAGACATTGGAATGGGCTGCCCAGGGAGGTGGTTGAGGCACCATCCCTGGAGGTGTTCAAGAGATGGGTTGATGTAGTGCTGGGAGGTATGGTTTAGTGATGGTGTTGCTTTTTGTTTGTTGTGCGGGTGTCTTGTTTGGACAAGATGATCTTTAAGGTCCCTTCCAACCTAGAAGATTCTGTGATTCTGTGAACTTAGACATGTATAGTATTCACTTATTGTC